CTAAAAGAAAAGTCGGGAAACTTGAACAGAATTTAGCATTCGCGCTCCACACTTGAGTGTGTAAGAACAAGAACTTGAGTGTGTAAGAATACGAAATAGTTTATAAGGTATTTAGAGGCCCAGGTTCGAGTCTAGGCGAGGGCACTGCACATTTTCCACGTCTCCTGTTTCGAAATAACATTCTACAAACTTCTAAAAGTAATTAAAATATTTCTGCAAGATTAGATGCAACCAAGCAAATTACCATGAGTTGAATAAATTACACAAGAAAATTATTTTATAATAACATACCAATTTAAAATATTGAAAAGTGTATAGCTCTATTCAATCCTTGTCTTTTATATATGCTTGTTTTTTACAAAATATTTCGTGATTTTAATTTAAATATGATTTCTCTTTCAATAACTTTTATCGAAAAGAAATTATATCCAAATGAAAATATGTATGGCACATTATGAAAATGCCAATATAAAAGATGCGTAATTTAAATTTGAGCTAAAAGATTTGATCTCTTGGCTTACTTATTCACTTTTGTCATACCTTCAAGTCTGTACGAAAAATTTCAGAAGACAGTGTACAGAGTCATTAGGTTATTTTGAAGTAAGAGACAAGAAAAATGAGTAATGGCCCTAGCTGGGACTCGAACCTGGATAGGAAGAGTCATTAGGTTATAAGGTATTTCTCCCGCCCTCCTAGCGTACCTTCGTGGTGTAGTGGTTCTGCACGCTGGGTCGGTATTCCGTGGTTCGATCCCCGGCGAAGGCGATTGCTCATTTTCATCTTGCCTGCTTCCAAAAAAGTCTCTACAAGGTTATTTTGAAGCAGGAGACATGAAAAATGAGAAATGCCCTCATCGGGATTCGAATATGGACCTCACGGATACGCGCCGAAGGCTACCGTTACACCATGAAGGCATGGTGGAAGCAGGGAACAAATGCGTTATAACTGTAATTATAATGACGTGAAATCCCACTTTCCATAATTGGATAGATTATGTACTTTGATGAAGCTGAGCCATCTGAGATTGCGTTGTGGGAAATGTCAAAGATAAAAGTGTAAGAAACATAGGACGAAACATCCATACTCCACTACCTGCTTATTTCGCTGTAGACAATCAAAACTGTGCTTTGGGTAATGTGAAAAGTTTGGGATCAAGCAGTATGCTGGATAGCTTAGACTGACATAGTTCCTTCTATCGTACAGCTTTTTTTGTACACTGTGTAATTTCTTGTATATCAAAGGTATATTGTTAAAGTTCCATAACTTGATGCGATAAACCATTGTGAGTTACTCTTTCTCACTTAAAAATCAAACATTCATGCAATCACTGAATTAAACAAAACAATGAATAGTAATTTTTACGTTTTACTATTTTCTTATAAAAAAACAAGAACTTTTTCGCGGATATATTTAAAACACTAAAAAATTTGTTATCCATGCTGCTCTTCGAAAAACCGAAGTAGAATAAAGAGGACTTTTGTAATATGGCAGATGCTCTTAGCGCGTATTCTTTTGAAATCTTTATCGTGTATTCAAGACATTTTTCGAAACTACGAAATATTATTCCATAATTTATTCGAAGAGTACTTTAAGCGTAATTTGCTGTATTAATGTTCACAATTATCATATATTATGCCAACACGTGTTCCAAAACGTAATAAATTCTTTGCTAGACAGTGAGAAAAAATATTATACAAGAATGTACATGATATCAGGGATGACCTTTTATTAATATCATAAATGATAGAAAAATTATTAATTAAACATATAATAAATTCTACCAAATCTACAGCAAAGACTACAGACGTTTCTGATGTAAAAACTACTTCAGAAAGAAAGAATGAAAAAGATTTACAACAAAACTAACTTAGGAAAACTACTACAGAAATTGCTTCAGAAAAACTTCTTCAGAAAGATTTACAGAAATGCACAGGATTAAAACAAAAGGCTTTCAGCAACCCAGAATGACATGATTTTTTTTTAAAAAGAAAAACTAATAAAATTTGAAAGCTTTCAGATTTTACATTACGTCCAAAGGGGCGTTTTTTTAACGTTTTGTGTGTTACCTTTATTAAATATCATATTGTTCGCACTCAAACCATAAAATTCCATTCAACAGCAATATCGCAAATAATTTTAAAATGAGCGTATATTTAGAATTTCGGATACACAGTGTCGCGCTGAAGATAAAAAAATGCTTTTTTTTTTTTTTTTTTTTTTTTTTTTTTTTACATTGTTGCCAATTTTTGCTTTGAAATCTTTGAGTTTGTTGATTAAATATTCTTTAATGTGTGACAAAATATGAAATAGATAATAAAACAAATTTCAAATTAGCGATTCCAGATGCCCATATTCGGTGGAAAATTACGTTTATTCATAATTTGATGGCTGTAGGTACCGTTTTTTTTATCACAATGCGACAAACATACATACATTTACGCAGATTCTTCATTATTTAATTTCTTTAAATATAATAAAGGGCTGTAATATTTGGTGGCAACAGTTTGAAAGGGGAATTTACGCAGAAAGTGAATCAACGCGAAATGCCAAATCGAAATTAATAGCCCTTTGGGCTAATCATTCAGTTCTAGGATCTAAGTTGCTACCAACAGATTACAATGGTACATTTCTCGCTGAATGAGGAAGAAAAAAGCAATGAAATTAAAATATGACTAAGGCAGTAATTGCCAAAATTAATTTAATATGAAAACTAGCAGTCTCTCAGGTATTTCTTGTACATTCCGCTGAAGTTGATGATCAACCCTAATTGATTAAAATATTTTAAATAAACTAATACTCAGACTAACTCTTAGATACTACAGACGCTCTCTAAAAACAATATAAATTCACAGAAGACATCTTTTTATCGCGCTATCGAAAAATGTTATCGAATAAACTATTCTTCAAAATTTTCTATGTCGTTTTACTAATGAATAGGAAGAAGACATAAGATATGTCATCATTCATTCTACTATCGAATTTTATTTCCTTAATATGAATTTTAATCGTTATCATTAGTACTTCATCTAATTCTTCTTTTCGAGTAGTATGGTTAGAATTTCAAAAATAAGAAATTGCTTTGATAAACAGAAAATGAAAAAATGAACATAAGAAAAGAATCGATACCACAGAAAAAAATAAGCGTAGGCATCTCCCTCATGTCCAAGAAATTAGGAATCGCAGCATTATCAAAAAGTGGAAAGCGACGAAATGCGAAACCTTTTACTTTGCAAATGTATCTTCAGTTTAAAAAAAAATTAAATTGCATTATATCCCATATAAGAGCGCGAGAGAAAGCAAAATAATGTCTTTTTATACATTGTAAGGATTATGTTAATTTTATTAACAGTTAAATTTTGAGTTAAATTTCCTTTCCTATCGATTCTTAACTTACCATTTCCGGCCAGAACGTAGTTTTAGAATCACGTCTGAATACATAATGAGGAAGAGCGGTATTTAACCGCGAAGTTCTTTGGTGTTAGTGAAAGAGATACCAGATACTATGGATAGCACGTGTCCGCCTTTTTACGCTACTCTCTCGTAAGCTATTATTACGCTCGGCCGTACTTTAGGCCCTTGATAGCTTCGCAGTCTATTAACGTTAAGGGCCAACTCTGTTAGAATTTAGATAGCTTCGGCTATATCTCTTTAGTTAAGATTAGTTTAGTTTAATTCTTAGTATCTCAAGTTCAAGCCCGAGTGTCGGCTTTATTGTACACTCCAAGACGGAGTTAAACTTTAGTTGGAATAATAAAGGGTTTACCCTTTTATCTTGTTGTTTCCTCTTACACGAACTCAAGCAATTATTCGCTTATCAGTTCTTAAGATTCTTCACTTCCAACAGTAACTTAGAATTACACAGTGAGGAATCCTACAACACAGTAAAATTAAATAAAAAACAAAAAATAAAATAAAATGATTTCATACTGGTTTTTTTTGAATTTACAAAATATGACGAAGTAAGTTAAAAAAGCAGATTAAATTTCGAAATTATAAAGTTATGGGTATATAAAAGAAACGCCCAGGAAAAGAGAATTGTCGTAAAACAAATGAAGGAAGGATAATAAAAACAAAATAAAAAAGTCTAAAAAAAGGATAATTGATTTTAGTTTGGAATGAGGCATTTAGAACTATCATATAAAGGGGTTTTCAAGAAGTTTTATAAAGTCGGAAGATCTGAGGTAACCTACATTAAAACCAAGGTAAATGCATTCTTTGGAATATTGCATTAAAAAGAAACAATCGCAAGTGGTTTTATAAATGGAAAGTGTAATTACTTTTTAAAATAAGTCACAAAAATCAATAATTTGTTTATTAACAATAAAAAGAATAATGTGAATTCCTAATGAAAAATGAATGCTTATTGAATGCAGCAGTAACCTAGTAGAGACATTAGGTTATTTCGAAGCAGGAGATGGGGAAAATGAGCAATATCGGAGCTCGAACCACTCAAATACGCGCCGAGTGTGCTGACTATTACACCACGAAGGCTTTTAATGATAGCATTCATTTAATTTTAATCAAAAATATTATTAATTATTAAGAGATGAATTCATTTGCTAGGATATTAACAAATAAATAATACATTAACAAATAAATAATTAACAAATAAATAATACACTTAAAGAGATATTGGTGTTTTTAGAACCCGGAAACGTGATAAGCTAGCTATTACGTCTCCAGGATTCGAGCCATGGATCTTCTGTATTAATTAAATGAGTTACTTGTTACACCACGACAGCAAGTACGGGGAAATATCATTTTCCACTACTGCTGCTAAAAAATTCATGCGAATATACTATAATTACATGTTTCAGGTAAGCAAATTATTTTTGAGAAAACAATGCCATCTAGTTGACAAATGTTACCATCTAGTTGTCAAATCCAATACACAAACATGAACTACACATACATTAACTCAAAAAGACTAAAATTTAAATGTTATTACTCAAAAGTCGCAGTTCAAACTATTGTATTATTTGACGGAAAATACAACTTACCGGATATTTGGTGACATTTGGGTCCGGTATTTTAAACTGTTTTAAAAATTCTGGCTTCCCAGTCATGTCAATGAACGTAAAAAAAGCCGAAACTATCCAGTATACAGTGAGCATTATGATAAGAGGAACTGAAAAGAAAAGTTATAAAAATGGATATCTTGAGTTTAATAACGCAATTAGCATTCTAATAAATGCGAATGCTTGCCATATTTAACATATTATTATGATAAACTTTATGCTATTTTAGATGCAATGGTGTGAAAATTTGTACTGTATTTTTAAAAACACTTTTGAAAACTGTAACACTACTACAGCATTTTTGTAAAGGAATGATGATGAGCTTTTTGAGTTTTCTGGAAATTTGTCTACCCCACAAGTTCGTGTTCATGAATTATTAGTTTACAAAAAATATGATGTGGGCACCACATGACTTCCTTGTATGGCCTATTAAGTTATATACATTTTTGCTGCATTTCATTTATTTCTCAGAATTTCATCAGAGATATATTTCTCATTCAATTAATTAAGTTCTCACTTCGCGGCAAAGCAAAATCACATAAAAATTCAAAATATCTTCGTTAAAAATTGTAATATACAGAAAAACATAAAACACCAAATACAGTTAAAACTGTTCAAAAAACACTTTTTACAAGTAAAATTAGATTTTCTACGCAAAAACAAGCAATTCGGACAGCATGCAGGAAGGCAGATTTTTCGGTGCACGAAACTGAAAGTTTACTTCTGGTCCCACTCGACAAAAAGACACCGAAGGTGCAGAAACTAACTTTATTCACTATTCTACTGAGTTTTAAATGTAAGCAAATGGCGGTTCGTTAGGCTTAACTTGCGACTTTTAATTTGTTGATAATTATACAACTATTGCATGCAGATTAACTAAAAGCATAAAAACCTTAACCGAAACATAATAAAAATATAATTCAAACACCTTTTAAAGCAAAAATGCACAATTTACCAACATATAAGAAGAAGAAGAAGAAAAAAAAAAAAAAAAAAAAAAAAACCTGAGCTTACCGAGCCGACTAACAGAGTAGGTATATACAGATATTTATATAATTTTGGTGCAGCCGATTGCAACCAAAAAGGGAGGTGCACATTTACATGTTATAGCAGTCCCATGTACAAAATGGGAACGTTCTACTACTGCTCGTTCTTGAGTTATGCCTCTACTGTTATACATGCAGACGTACGTACGTACGTACAGATGTCAATAAAAAGTCTCTTCTGAAAAAATTTTACAATCCTTTTTGGCAAAAACAGTCTTTTATTCTCTCCGTACGTACAGAAGTCATACAAAAATATCGTTCAAATGGTTTCCAGAACGGTTGACAGGGATACTTTCGCTGAAATATGATACTGGAAATATTTTTTCGATTACAATGCTTCCTTTGCGTCGTACAAGCAAGTAAAAAGTATACACGAGTAAAAGTTACGGCAGTCGTGAAAGCAAAGTGTTAGTATCTTCTTGGACAATTAATTACCCGCAAATTAGTTAAATTAGTTTTTTTTGGGAGAAAAATTCGTAGATAAGACTATCATTTGCAAGAGGTGAAATAAATGAAGAAAAATTAACTGTTCATACTTAAGACTCTGTCAGCCTCTCTTCAAACTATTATTACGCTCGGCCGTACTTTAGGCCCTTGATAGCTTCGCAGTCTATTAACGTTAAGGGCCAACTCTGTTAGAATTTAGATAGCTTCGGCTATATCTCTTCCTGAGAAACTTCGAAAAAGCAAATGTAAGCGCAAAGGCGAACTAAGATAGTATTGTTTAAAAAGAATAAATTATCGAGCTGGAGATTACTTTAATGCGGTTATAGCAACCAATGACTGTTCAGTCGTCAATTTAGATCTTTCTAGACAGATTCTAGAAACACTTAGATTCAAGCGTGCGAAGGGACTACTGCGTAATAGTAGTAAATTTCAAACCTAAAAATCGTGTATATCCTTTTGTACCCAAAAGTATAAAGTTTTGCTTCTTATTCAGTGGCGTGGATCTAAAATAGTTCCTTACGTTCAGTGAGCATTAGAATTTAAATAAGTATTGATTCGAAGAAGTACCGCTTCCAGGAGCGCACACTTTAACAAGCAAAAATCTTTTCATAGGGAACGAGGCATCAAATGAAAATTTTCAGCTGACTAGCTGCAAATTTAAGGAACACGAGGGTTTACAACTATTCATGAAACCTTCAAGATTTATTGAGTTATGACTTCTAGACGTGGGACGCGAGAGTTCTTTGCAAATTTCGTAAGGTCTACGTAGAGATGTTGCGCTAGAAACGATGCTTTGTTAGAACTTTTCTTTCATTTCTCTTTATGTGCTGGAAAGAGCATCTGATAAACCCACGGAGACGTACCTCCGGCTTTTAGATTGTGGAGGCATGCAAAAACTGCATTCAAGTGTAAACAAGTAAATATGTTATATTGGTAAGTGTGAGGTGGATATTATGATAAAGAAAAATTTACGTCAATGTCTAACCGGTTGCGAAGGCATAAATATCTATGGAAGAATTTGCGTGTATAAATATTTTTTCAGCATCTATGGAAGAATTTGCGTGCATAAATATTTTTTCAGCATTTGTATTATTGAATATTTTAACAGCTTAGTAACTTTTAAGGAGAATAAAATAATAGACAAACAATATTTATGTTTCAAATATTATGAGGTTTAAAAGAAAATATGAGCATTTCATTGGTTGCATGCAGAGTATAAAAACGGCTAAATGTAAACTAGAATCTGAAAGACAAGCCTGAGTTTCCTGGAAAATTAATGAATGGGATTGTTAAAAACCTTGAGTCAGCAAAATGTGAGAAAGGGGGAATCTGTGCTTTTGTTGAAATTATTGTGTACGCGAAAAAATATGATGCTGGATATTGTACCGTATTGATAAATAAAATATTTTAATCTTGCATCCTAATGAAAATTAAAAAGTTAATTCCGTCGCAGACAATTGATTCAGATTTCAATAATAAAACAATTTAAAGCTGTTGAATTGCACTATCGTAGAGAGATTAAAAGCACAAACATATTGTTACGAATTCTGTACCTATGCAAACAAATTTAGTGAAAGGATATGTAAATTGTAGTATATCTTGTCCAATGTAACATGGAAGGCCTCAAGAGTGTAAAACCTAGCCGCAAAAACAGCGTTACAATGATAAATCCATTTAACATTTAGTTAAATTGTTTTGGTGAGACAGCACCAAGTTAGCGATGGTTTTTTGCTTTTTTGTATTGCTTTGTGTTGACGTTCTTTAGTAGTCTGAAGAGGTAATTAAAGAAATCTGCTGTACGAGTACTTTTGTGTAAAAATTACCAGAACAGTAAAGTGTTTTTGAAAAATACATTTCATCAAAATTTGTCATCGGTTCTGTGCACATCCGACGAACGAATTCATATGTACGTAACAATTTTTGGTGCCCAAAATGGGATTGAATATCGGTGACAAGAGCAATGGACGAGAAACCAAGGCAATTGGTGACAGCTTTTGCTACATTTAAAGCAGTCCCCATGCAGGCTAAGAAGTGACAGGCCAAGAAAAGAGGGAAGGGACAGTCAAGTCGGATAAAGAGGAGCTGAAAGCCGGCCAAGCAGAGTGGAAAGCGAGTCAAAAAAAGATGGAAGAGACCGTCAGATCGGTTCAAGAAAAGGTCGAAGCAGGTCAAGAGGAAATGAAAAGAGAAATTATTACCAAAATTGAAAACATATTCTAAGCTATGGAAGATAGAATAGATATAGTTGAATATAAAGCTGAAGAAATTGAAGAAAGACTTCCTGTTCGCGAACAACAAATCGAGGAGTTTCTGTTGTCGAACAGCAAATCGAAGACATAATTTCTGCTGTCACCAAAGAAGATGATAGCTTGAAGAAAAACATAGTGACAGCTGAAAACAATTTTAACAGGCTTTAAGTTTCTACCTATATCTTCTCTACCCTTTTTCAAACTGATGGAAAGAGTTCTAGGCAAGTAAGTGTACAAGAGTCAGTTCTCTGTAGTGGCAGATGCAAGCGGATGGGATTCCGAAGCTAAGGCCTGCCATCTTGCACTTCTCTGAAAGCAGAGGCAGCGCATATCCTTCCGAATACTAGACGCTAGACGTCGAAGCTCTATCTGGCGCTTTGAGCTGCGATATGGTGGTGTTTTATGGTGCGATATGGTGGTGTGTTATGGTGTGATATGGTGGTGTGTTATGGTGCGATATGGTGGTGTGTTATGGTGCGATATGGTGGCGCGTTGAACTGCGCCTAAGTGTTTAAAAGACGGTCTAGTTCAAAGTCTCGCCAACAGAGGCGTACAGAAACACTCCAGAAGATCACTACGGGTGCTAAAAGAATATCTCATCTCGCATTTTCGGAGTGTGCTTTAAAGTACGCTATGAAATTCGAGGCAGCTCAGGAAGTAACTCGTAGAGAACGCCATCCAATCAGAGCAGCAAATGCCTAGGAGACAATGAATCATTAACAAGGCAAGTGAATGCTTTGAGACGGAATAGAAGTTGATTAAATGTGGGGTAAAATTAGACAACCGGAAGTAGCCTATAACAGGAGCCCATAACATTAGAGCCCATAACAGGTTTTAATGGACAACTCAAAGTGGTACATTAATTAAGCCCATAACAGTATTGAAACAATCAATATAGTGTTCCAATTCAACATTACATATCACGAACCTAAATATCAGGGAGATATATGCATACATCAAAATGAATTAAGATTTTTTTACTATAGAAATAAAATAGATGAAAATCAAATTCTGGTATTCATTTCATTTATTTTTAAGCATTTATTTTTAATATATTATAAACACTAAATGTTTTAAAATTAAAACCCTATTAAATTAGTATATATTATAAAACTGCTCAACAAAATACAGTTGTAATAAAAAGAAATAAAGGGGCAAACATTTGATTATGTTGATCTAAATTCAGAAAAACCATGGCCATTTATACCTTGTAAAATATAATCCAAAATTTCATATTACAGACTTTTAAATGAACGATGGTGAAGACCACTTACGAAGGAACTGGAGAACAGCCAAGACCCGGAAGCTAAGCTCGCTTCCCTGCAAAGAAGCGCCAAACAAATCTGTGCACATCTCGGGGAGCGACGG